TCTGTGATTAGAGGTGTCCTGCAATATACATGCGGTCTCTGGTTCAATCTCGCGCCCCAAGCTCATCAGGCCTGCGATCCATCCGGGTACCCGTATTTGTTTGGAAGGATAGCCGCAGTGATAGTTTGGAAAGATAGCAGCAGTGGCAATCTTGCACCGAATTCCTGACCTTGTGAATAGGTCAACGGTAGTCGACTGAAACAATGGGATGGAAAGTTTAGTTGGCCTAGTGCTTGGCAAACCAGGGCTTTCCACAATTAAAAAGCATCATATCACTATAAGCATTGATTGAAGGGCGCGTGTGGCACAGTGGTCGGGGGCGCCATGCAACGCGTACGTGGAGTCGTTCTTCGCGCCCATGGCGCACCAAGCCTTCCATCTCTCCGGGGTCACCAAATTGGTATCAGACTTGTCTGGGAGGATAGCAATACTGGCTCGATATATCGGTAGGCCACCGCGAGTCATGGTAAAGGCCAGATATGCATTAAATCACCTCCAACGATATTTAATGAGGATTAATGCATGGTGCATCCCTCAGGGATTGATCAACGCCGAGTGCTTTATCCGTTTTTTATATCACTGTGCTACTCACTCCTCTACATAGTAGTTATACGTTCTATTTGTAGAAATCTGTTTTACGTGTCAGTCTAAGGCTGTCGATCACAATAAGGTTGGTAGCGTCTGCCCGATTTAAATTATGGTATTGGTGGTATATGGTATTTAATAGAACGCTAAGTAGATAAAAGTTCATTTGAATATACCATTCCCCTTTGGTGTGTTCTATGTCCGAAACTGAATGTTTATGGACTAAGCCTAATTTTTTGGATTGATTATTTACTTTAAGTAAGTTCTTTCAACCGGAAATCAACCCGAACATCTCGAAACTTTTTGGCAATGTCGACGTTGATTACAGAATGGGAGGACATTGTGAAGGATCTCAACAAAGTAGAGGTGCGTAGGTTCACTTGATTACCTGTACAGTCAGTTTTACAAAATAAGAGAAACTTACGAAATTTGAGGTAGTTCTTACACAAACCCGTAGTGCATTCGTTTCAATGCATATAGTAAGAAGACGTGAAACCTGAAGTGGCTGGTATGAGTGAGTCCTTCTCTTTCAGAAGGTTTGTTTTGGCGCACAAAATTCTTTTCCTGCACTTCTTATAGTCGATAAGATAGGATTATGCAAAAACATTTCTCAAACGAGTTCGTTAACCGATAGTTTAACTAGAAATTGAATTCTATCGAATATGCGAACTGTTCTTAGAAAGCCAACGCACTCGTAGCGGCTGAAAATTAGACGCGAATAGGTCATCGTTTTATGTTTACATGCATTTTTGCGCTTAGAGATTGTTTTTACATCCATTTTGTTACTGTCGAACTAATAGATGAAATTGATTCTCACCTACCTGAGAGTTTTGTCTAGCCTTACTCTATAACTGGGTACATCTGAACGTGTGCTCTTTAACCACACAAAGGTTTTGCACATACTTTCAATCAGAAATCATTCAAACGTACTTGGATTCGGCTCGACATTTCAATGAGTCCTAAGTTTTTACCTGGAAAACTAAATTGGTCCCTGAGCTTTACTTTCATGCTAGGTTAATTTTACCATGGTCTATTCGTTCATTTAAAGATACAGGCGATACAATCGCTTTGGTTTTACAATCCATGTACTAACGGTAATCGTTGCGATGTAAACGTAGAATGATTAAATTTTTGTAATTTCAAAATTAATACAATACCTTGTTACTTAGTGAAGTTATGAGACGAACATCGTTCTAGTGAAGTACTAGAATCTACAATTTTTCCTGGTCTGATAAAACGTTATTGTAATAGGTTAAAATTCTGTAATGTAGTGTGATAAGGATTCTGCAGAAATATTTCCAGCGACTACCCCTTCTATAGTTTAGTATGGAGTCTGTTTTTCCTCTTATAGGACAAAGTGGTTAGGGAAAGGAGTGCTTTTACAGTACAGTAGAGCCGAGCACACACTTCATATTATGAATTCATATCTAGTACTCATTTAAACCATGCTAAACCAATCACTCGAGCTTCCTTGGCTTGCCATTATGTTACACTTTCAGCTACTTTATTAACCAGTGGAAAAATGTCGCTATCTTCAAGACTGAAAATGTTGGATTTTCCTAAAGTTCATCATTATTTTGTGGATTCTGACCAAATTTTGGCAGTTTAATCTTTAGGAAACAAATTTGAACAGTTTGTATCCATTCATTGCTCTTTAGCAATTGCAAGTGGGTAAAAGTCCACGTTTTTAAACAAACGATTTTTTGAGATGGAGAGGCCACAAAGGGTGCCTATCGGTAATGTCATATTTATTAAGGTTGAATTCTCTAAGGATTAAATTTTCTTAAGGTATAAGTCATCAGACGTTTGAAGCAGTTAATCATGACGCTCTATGGTTCGTTTCCAATTTGTAGATAAGGAATTAATGTTGGCAAAAACCATCGTGTACTTCCTCAGGTAGATCTGAAGATGGGATCTTATTTTAGCTATGTTGTATTTCTCATATACATATGCACCTCAGGGTAAGTTAGACAAAAAACTGCATGTCTTCTAAATGACCCGTTACCCAAGTTTCACGGCAGATCAAGGCAAACTATTCATAAGTACCATACCATCAAAAACCGCAAGAGAAAGGTACTACCATTTAGTTCTGAAGCGATCGATAGAGTGGCGTGGAAGGAACGAGTGTGAATAAGCTCTCAATTCGAAGGAATTAAGTACTTGGATGCTTGGATCGTCCGTTTTCACGAGTTGTGCGGACCCCAACACATTTGTCCTTCGTTCCTTTCCCTCGCAATCGTTGTCCATGGTGGTGTTTTTATTCCAGCATAATAGCGCGTGCGACTCATACCTTGATCTGTAAAATAACTGCAGCTGCGGGTACAGCTGATTAAGAACTGGTTAGTATCACGTCCATCCAATGTGCAGCTGGCCGTTCTAGTGAAATCTCGCATTCTCGTGGAGTCCACTCTACAGTTGTTTTCGTCTATCTGTCGTTTGTTCGCTATCGTTGTATATTCTCCTGGATACCGAAGATGTGTCAGATTCCCAGCACAAGAGCTTCTCATTCCGGTCGGATATTGAACGTGCCGGCTACATTCTATTTCAGAAGACATCGTTTAAGCGCTCTGTGAATAGTGCGTAGTATTCTTGACGTGGTTGAAGTATCAACCTATGTCTCTGCAGCGTAACGGAACGCTGGGAGGACCGTCGAATCGAAAACATGAGCGCGGATTTTCAAGTCCTTCAGCTGGTCGATGGCTTTTTGGAAATACCTGAATGCAGTACAAGATGCTCTCCTTCTTCTATCGAACTCCTCCTTCGTGATGTTTTCCATATTCATTGATCGCCCAAGGTATACTTACGAGATGGTTTCTGCAATCAGAGAACCATCCAGTTCGATTTATTCGCCTGCGCATCATAGGTTTTTCATGAAAAAGACTTTTTTATGAGACTTACTCAGGTTGCAGAAACCTGTAGGATTGGTGACAATATGTGCTTACAACATGCTTATGATAATATTGGAAGCCTTTCAGGAAGAAGTTCAGTTGTAATGTTATCGTACCGTACGAAACGAGTAAATATATTGCTTATTAGATGAAAACTGGTATTTGAGGTATACGACACTGAAGGAGTAGGTGCAGTCAGTCTCACAACATGAGCTTACTCATGAGCATCGATTTCTTCTAACAAGTGACAACTCGAATCATACGTTCGCATTTCAAAAGATGTTGACATATTCTAGCATTTAGGCAGTCGAAATCTCCATAGGACATAGCTCTACGATGAGAGCTAGATCGAAGCGGATTATATAGATTTCGAGAAATTCTTCACATAGTGGGCGTCGTCAGTACGAAAATTTGAACGATTCAAGCCCGACGGATGTAGTCATTCACTCACATTCATAATTTTGTGTAGATTACTGTCATCCAATGAACATTGTTACCAGATGAGTACTACAATGAGGTTGATAACATCGTAACCAACCGAGTGATTTTTCCCAATCTTACCATTGTGCTAAAATTTTATTTAAACTTAATAAATAGGACCACACCTTTGCACATTTTTAGAGAGATGGAAATCTCAGAAATTCGAGGAAAGAGTAGCAAAATTTTTATAGACAGACTGAGATATGCTGTTCCGAAAATCATGGTTATTGAGAAATACAATTGGTCAACTACCGAATATTGGTGAAAAAGAGGGTCATCCAACACTGGAGACAGTGTCAGGAAAGATGTGGAATTATCACCAGGGCATGTTTGTCTGTTGGAATGTTTTAGCTGAGCAACATTCATTTACTACCTTGCATTGTTTTTTTTTATTGTTTTGTTAAGAATGATAGATTCTCAAAGGAGAAAAGCACCAGTAAATCTTACGGCTGCAGAGGTTCGGAAAAGCATTTACAATGGGGATTTTCCAAATTGCATGGTTAAGGCACTACTTCTGTACGAAACCATTATTGGCTTTGTTAAACTGAATTTATTTCTTTTTAAAAAGATTACGTATTCGTCCAAGAGATTCTCGCGATTAAAATCCAGCGTAGTATTTTGTTAGTAAGGAATCGTTCATATTGTTAAAATCCAGGGGAAATGGGATTGGTAAACTAACCATTGGTGTCAAAAACCTAGCAAAATAGTTCGAAATAAAGAGCAACATACAAATCATTTGATACTAACCTGATTCTACTCACAGGTCAGTAGGACTGCCACAGGGTACTCCAGCCGTTGCTGCTTTAAATGAACGTGGTTTGGTTAAGTGTTCTTAGAAGTCGTCCTTTCTACTACGTGCACCTTTGTAGTTATTATAGGTTGATGGTGGAATATATAGGATACCACAATAAGCTTTGTTAGGGTGCAAAAATGGTATTCTTCTGGATATCTACAGTGTTTTCTTACCATATAATTTGGACATATAGTATAACCTAAATAGGTTTAACTACTATATATGTGAGTTTTTAGGATATTCATAATGAGTACATGAAGAAACTGTCAGAACTTACAAAAGTACAAGAATCGGGTTTGAAAGCAGTGAAGCACTATAACTATGTCCTCGGGAACTTTCGCGATTCGATGAAAAAGTGAGTGTTTTTTATTTGGTTGTTTTTACAGTTTCTTTTAAAGCATCTCTCAAAAGGTTCTCGCAAGAATAGTTTTCGAAGTCGGTTTTGAAATTATGTATTTCAGTTTAAATACATTTTTGCGAACTAGACTATGTTCATTTATTCCGATAGTAAAGAGTGCTGAAACTCAGATTGCCATGAATTCTCCAAAGACTTTTCCACTGGCTGCTTTTGTGGAGGCTCTTCCCTTGGACGGAGTTGTCGAAGTACTTGTGGATAGTGTCGTGCGCGGGTTCTATTGTTTCATAGCGATTTGCCAAGCCTGAAGTTTGGGTAATTGAACTGTTTATGTACGTAACATTTGTAGGACAATATAGTGATATTAGGAATGTATATACAGCATTACAATTGGTTCAGCGCTTAATAGTAATATAAGTAACAAATTGCCCTAACAATGATGTAGAATATTATGAAGCTGGTTTATGAGGATATGAGATGTAATTCCTTTAGGCCACAAGTCCAATAGGTAGTACGGCGCGTGTGACGCAGTGGTCGGTGGTGCCCTGCAACAGACACGTGGAATCGATCCTAGTGCTCGTGGTTTACGAAGCCCTCCTTCTCACCGGGGTCTCCAAATTGGTACCTGACTTGTCTGGGAGGTTAACAGCATTGGCTCGATACATCGGTAGGCCACCGCGAGTCATTGTAAAGGCCAGATACGCATTCAATCACCTCCAAAGATGCTTAGTGAAGTCGAATGAACGGCGCTTCTCTCAGGGATTGATAAACGCCGAGAGCTTTATCCTTTTATCCTTTATGACATGTAGAAATACAGAAATATTGTTTGTTTAATAATTTCGTATAACTAAAACAGTGTGAGTATTTACACGGCCACTGTTCCAGATTGAGATGGCGATGACGAGGTTATACTAGCGACGAACAAGAAGATTCACACATCACATAAGTGCAACAAAAGATATCAGTGGACATGGGCGTAGGTCACGGATCTCCCTTATATGAGGGATCTCGACCCGGTTAGTCGCGAGGCTACGTGCCGCGTTCCCAGAAGGCGGATAGGGGGTTAATCGCGAACCAAAAGTGACTTTTGCTTCCCTGAAACGCAAGTGGATCCAGGAGGTGGACTTCCTGTTTCTGCTGCGCTGAATGGGCACATACTTTATTTGCTAGGCGTATTCATGCATGCGTGCGTGGGTGCGTTCTTGCTTATGTGGATTGTACTCTACGAGTCAATTCGGCCAAAAGCCTGCATCAAGTGACTGGGAAGTAGCATATGGGAGGCGGTTAGGAGTCGCCTCCAACAAATAAGCTCCATGTTCACTCTGGGAGAGCCTGGCAAACTACCCGTGAGTATACCCAGCCCCCACGTTCAGAGCCCAGGAAACTATACTTGAGTATCAAAAATGCTAAACACAGTAAAAAAAAAAACGGGCCTCATTCTTCTGACACCGAAAGACCCCAATTTAACAGTGTTCGATAAGACGAGTACTGAGAGGCTGCTAAAATCTTAGGGCCAATGGAAGCTGCCTGAATTTCAAAGAACTGGTGACGATCTGTACCTACAATACACGTACGCTTGCACCCGAGTCCTCGATAGAAGACTTGCTCACGCAAGCAAGAAATATAAAGTACGACGTCATTGGCCTGGCCGAGACGAGAAATCGCCACATATTCAACGCCGTCTATGACACCGGAAAGGAACTGTTCCTCGGAACATGCGACAATAGAGGAGTCGGCGGCGTCGGCGTGCTCGGGAGCATGAGTGTGTCCATGGACATTGACTCATTCGAACAACTAACAACCCGAATCAGGCGTTTACGGTTAAAAAGGTGTGGATCGATTCCGTTTTTGACAGTCTTCGTCGTTTACGCGCCGACATCAAACTATGGCGAAGAAGAAGCCGAAGGGTTCTATATGGACCTGGAGGAGTTCTACAGAGAAGACCATACATTCTTGAAGGTTATCATTGGAGATTTTAACGCCAAGATTGGACCAAGAAGAACGTTTGAAAGACGTCACATTGGGACCTACGGATTAGAATGAAACAAACAGGGTGAGCGGCTGTCTGAGTTTATCATGGCGACTAAGACAATCAACCTATGATAACTCGCAATTCCGGAAGCCCCATCGTCAGCGCTGGACGTGGGAGTCTCCCACTGGAGAGTACCACAACGAATTAGACCACATCATAGTAAATAGAAGGTTTTGCCTAACCGATGTCGTTGTTGTCCAAAAATTCTACACGGGATCATCAGACCATCGTCTCCTTCGTGCAAGATTTTATTTCTCACGGAAAGGAGAAAAATCCGCTAAATTTAAAAACCGAAGTCCCCGAACCACCATAAACTGGGATTTATTCAATTCATTAGTCGTCTGTTAGGAAGATGCCGTTGCCGACAACATCGACAAGGAATGCGATCGGCTCATTCAACATCTTCACGTTAGCGTTACGAAAGCTCAGAGTACGAATGTCACCAAGAGACGTCTGTCTCCAGAAACATTCGAGTTGATACGCTAACGTGGAATCGCACGAGCTGCAGGCAACCGTGAACTAACGTCCGAACTTGCAAAGCAATGCAGATAGGTGATAAAAGAATAGCTTAAAGAGAGAAGAACAGCAGTAATGGTCCAAGCTGCAGAGAGTGGGAAAAGCATTCGCAAAGCCCACCGAAGCTTCGCCAGTGACAAGACCAAGATGGTTGCACTCCGACGCCCAGACGGAATAGTTACAGCGTCCAGAAATACAATGGAGAAAATTATTCACGAATATTACTCAGATCTCTTCGATAACATGCTATTTCGTTGGTGAAAAATCGAACAGCACCAAGTCCGGACGGGATAAGACCAGAACACATGAAGAAACTTCCGCCAGTCCTCGTAAACACACTGGCTCGACTCTTCACACGTTACCTGTCTGAATGCAAGGTCCCTACTCAGTGGAAGACCAGCAAGACCGTGTTATTGTTCAAGAAGGGTGACCTGCACAATATCGGCAACCATCGCCCAATCTGCCTGTTGCCTGTCGTCTAGGAACTTTTCACTCGAGTCATCCTAAACAGGATTGACAGAACAGTAGACGAAGGACAGCCATGTGAGCAAGCAGGGTTTCGAAGAGGATTTAGTACGATGGACCACATCCACACGATCACAAGGATCATTGAAGTATCGCGAGAGTACAAAAGACCGCTCTGTCTCACTTTCATCGATTTACGGAAGGGCTTTCATTCAATTGAGATAGAAGCAGTCATAGAAGCCCTTAATAGTCAAGCAGTCTCTACTCAGTACATAGAGATTCTTCGTGAACTGTAGAAAAATTTCACAACCAAGTTGTCACCATTCTACAACAATATTAACATTGACGTCAAAAGAGGAGTTAGGCAAAGCGATACCATCTCGCCAAAATTATTTACCACCACCCTCCAGAACGCCATGCGAATATTGGAATGGAATAATATGGGAGTGAAAATTGATGGTCGGTGTAATCCGTATGGACGACAACGAATGGACTAGAGCCGTTATTGACTGGATTCCTCGGGATGTCAAACGTATTCCAGAAGGACCACCGACCCGATGGTCAAAGTTCTTCACAAGGGCCTTGGAGGAAGATATGATGCTGGACGAGTCCCTAGAGCGCGCAAATCCCACTGGGCTACTCTTGCATGCGACAAGGAAAAATGGAAGATTTACTGGCGCCCGCTCGAGTCACTCGACGATCAACGGGACTACAGGTGATACAGGTGATGGACGTAGGAGAAATGTAAGTAAAGAATTTGCTGTGGCAACGATGGCTTTTTTAGAGTATTTATAAACAATACTACTGTTTGAGACAGTTACTAGATTAACAAACCACAGTGATTAAGCGAGAATTGATGATAACTTTACTACGTTGATGATGCAGGAGCTTAATGGATAAAGAATAAAGCTCTCGACATAGACCAATTTCTGAGGGATGCAGCGTACATTCGACTTTATCGTTAGAGGTGATTGAATGCATATCTAGCCTGTACAATGACTTGCGGTGGCCTTCCGATATAGAGACTCAGTGCTTCTGCCCTCCCAGACACGTTTGGTACTTATTTACCTACCACGGAGGGATGGAAGGCTTGGTGAGCCTGCGGTGCGGGGATCGATCCCATGTGTAGTGCAGGACGCCTCTGACCACTGCGCTATACATGCCCTTATGCAGGAACAAACGACTTCATCTAACATTATTCCGAGTTTAGCGAACCTGAAGGAGTTGTGGATGAAAAGCATTAAGCGGGAGGATTAAGTGATGAGGAATGACGGCGTCTTCACGCCTCGTCAGTGGTACTGCTGGGAGCGTTACTACCACCCATGCGAATGGTGATTGGTCGCTGGGTTAAGTGACCAAGCAATGTTGCCGGGTCTGGTGGCCTATCTGATGGTTAAGAACGAGCATCAAGGAAGGGCAGGCATACAGGCGTTGTGTAAAGTAATTTATTATACAAATATGTTACAGAACAGTAATAACAAACACAAATACATGTTCAGTGCAAGTCATGTTAAAATGAAAGATAAGGAATATTTCACGTGAAATATTTTCTGTTGGTAGTTGTAATTTTATACCACTAGGGACGGTTGTTGTTTCACGGCGATCCAATAGCAGATGAAATATTGCTGCTGTTAACAGATTTTATTGTAGAGTCGAACGCGACAAACCCGAATTGAAGGAAACTATTACGAAAATCCGTGACGAAATGACTGACGCTCGTACAAAATTGAAGGAGTTAGAGGCCGAACTTCCAGTGCAGGATAACGGCTTTTACCTCTCATTGATCTTAGGTGAGGTGCATGATCGATTCTCATTTTTCGATGTGCAGATAAAGTTGACTTTATGGCTATTTGTGGTCAATTTTCTTAGAAGGGCAACTTCTTTGCAAAAAACCGTTCGATACTCAGAATTGAGTAAGGTAAGCGCAAAGAAATTAAAGTTCCTCCCATAAACATATTCAGTCCTAGGTACGAATGTTGAGACACAGGTTTCCAAAAGATTTAGCAGTGCGCTTTCTGTTTTTTCGTAGGTTGCCCTATGAATAAATAGCCTGCCTTAGAATAATAGTGTCATTTTTTGAAAAACCGTATAACAAAACAGAAATTCGAGAATAGTGACTTATTGATCGGAACAAAATAAATATTCAGCGTTATCGTAGAAGTCTCGTTGGTTTTCGGCCTCATCTTCGAGTGCTCATATGTAAGCTATTGTTAGAATTGAAAAACGTTGACGTAGAAAGCATTAAAGCTGAAAACAACTTTTATATTTGCATCTATAGATAAAGCTGAAATTAACTAGTTGAAATTGCAACAGGCTTGAGACAAATTTGATGAGCAATTTGCAAATCTTCGGAGGGTCTATGTAATAGAAAGTAGGTGTGGATACTTGGTATCCTCAGTCTTAATTGGATTCGTTGTATCATGCAGCATCTTTCAGATAAGCACCGCAAGATCGGTGTTCAAACTTCGTCGAAAAAGTAGAAAAACTGAGTACATATATAAAGGAAAGGGCTGTCAACTTTAATCAGTCTCTGTGTAATGCGCCATGAATTCTATTTCATGAAGGGTTGTTAGAGGCGACTAGATGTAAATCGTATGCAACTCAAGACTTGATTAGATCTCAGGTTATTTCAGTATACATCATTTCCAGTTTTCAGGGTGCTAGAGCTTGTTTATTGCTGGTTGAACAACCAGTTATTTTCTTTAGGAAGATAAAATCTTTTTCTTGGTTTCGAGATTGAATTGTCGACCTCTTACTGGAGGCTCTGATGTGGTATGCCTTCAGTGCTCTACGATATAGGTCACTCATTACTCATAAGCACCTCGGCCACGCTGATTCGTTAACTACAGAGGAATTATTTCGTGTAGTGATGTTGAATAAAAGTTGTACTGCTGGTTTGTCTGGGAAATGGTTGTGTTAAAACCGATATATTTACTCGGCCCATCTTCACTGGTCGGGTGGGCCTCCGATAAGCTTCCACTTTTCCGGAATTTTGGTTGTTTAGCCACTGTGGTTCACTGAAATCCCAAGGCCAACCTAACCATCGTGTGCCCCAAGTCGTCGCCACCACAGGCAGACGCCGTCCATGTGGATCAGAAGAAGGTTTGCCACCATGCGATTAGCTTGATACTAGGACGGTGGTGGATCCCGGTATTGGTTTACACTACTCTTAGTAGGCTTCCTGATCGACACGCCGGAGTCCTCGTTTTGAGACACCCTTTTGTGAGGGGAGTGGGATTAATCCGCCGCTATACTTCGCAGCCACGCCACGACACTCAGGAACACCCCTCACCACGATGAAGCGGTAAGCCGTTGAGACATAAGTATGATATTGGAACTATTATTAGCCACAACGTTGCTGAGATATTTGCAAAACTCTGGACCAGAGGTGTCTATGGTGGGGAACGAACGCAATATTGTCCTTTCCGGGAAGTAACGGGTTCACCACCACACCATGCGGGTCCTTCGCTTCGTCTGTCCCTCAGTTAGTTCTATCGATCCCGTTCACGGATGACTGCTGATGGCGCTGATCGATAGAACTCGCTGAGAGACAGGCGAAACGAAGGACCCGCATGGTGTGGTGGTGAACCCGTTACTTCCCGGAAATGACAGTATCGCGTACGTTCCCCACCGCAGAATCCTGTGGTCCGGAGTTTTGCAAATATCTCAGCAACGTTGTGGTTGTATTTCGCTTAGTACCCTGCCGTGAAAATTGTAGTAGGCAGAAAATTAAAGATAAAACACTGTTAGTAGCCTAAATTGTATACAGGGTAGTATAAAAAACGAAGGCATTTAGATAAAAATTCAGCGAAATGTGCTGTTTAAGAAGGTATATGATATGGACGCAAAGGCTGGAAATTAACTTCTTTAAGTCATATGTATCACCTGTACTCCCGTTGATCGCCTAGTGGCTCGAGCGGACGCCAGTAAATCTTCCATTTTTCCCGGTCGCGTGCAAGATTAACCCAGTAGGTTCTGATCGTTTTAGGGACTCGTTGAGCATTATATCTTCTTGGCTTTTCATCAAGAGCGCTGACTATCGCGTCCGTGGTCTTCTTGCAGTGCGTTTAACATGCTGAGGAATCCAGTCACGAACGGCTCTCGTCCATCGGTAGTCGTTCATACGCATTACTTGTCCGGCCCACTTTATCTTCGACTGTTTGACGTACAGAACGGCATCTTTGATTTTTGATCATTGACGCAGGTCGGAGTTTCGGATCCCTTCCCTTACTTGTGTGAAGCTTGGATACTCCTAGCATCGTCCTTTCGACTGCTTGTTCAATAACGCTGGGTGATTTTTCATCCTGCTTACGCAGCGACCAAGTTTCCGTCGAATACCTTAAGGCAGGAGGTCCCGTTGAGTGGGCACCGAGTCAGGTGTTCTTTGTCCTCTTCACTACATCCTCACTCCCAAGCCGATCGTTTCTTTTGCTCGGCTGTGGAGCTGTCATTCATCATGCTGACTTCCCAACTTATATACAACTGGAGCATTCGGAGATACTCATTCCGTTGGGCGTGAATGGGGCATACGAAGCCAATCCGTTTCTCATGAACATGGTTTTTGTGAGACTTAGTCGAAAACCAATCATTCCACAGGCTTTATCTAAGTCGGTAAGCATTCGTTCCCCTTGGTTAATGTTTGGTGTTACAAGGACGATGTCATCAGCAAAGTGACGATGGTGTAACTGCCGATCATCGAGTTCTTGAAGGTGGCGGTAAATAATTTTGGCAAGATGGTATCGTCTTGCCTAACTCCTCTTTTGACGTCAATGTTTAAATCGTTGTAAAATGGTGATAGCCTGGTTGTGAAATTTTTGTACAGCTCACGAAGGATCTTTATGTACTGAGTAGGGACTCCTTGTCTACCAACGGCTTCCAAAACTGCTTATATCTCAGCTGAATTAAAGCCCTTCTGTAAATCGATGAAAATGATACTGGGCGGTCTTTTGTACTCTTGCGATACTTCAATGAGCCTTATTACTGTGTGGATGTGGTCCATCGTACTAAATCCTTTTCGAAACCCTGCTTGCTCACATGGCTGTCCTTCGTCTAGAGTTCTGTCAATCCTGTTTAAGATGACTCGAGTGAAAAGCTTGTAGACGACAGACAGCAAGCAGATTGGGCGATAGTTGCCGATATCGTGTAGGTCACCCTTCTTGAAAAATAACATGGTCCTGCTGGTCTTCAACTGAGTAGGAGCCTTGCATTCAGAGAAGTACTGAGTAGGAACCTTGCATTAACTGGGTTCAATGCCGATTTGGGCTCCCCAGGTCAATCCCGTTGACGGGTGATTGCTGTTGGCGAAGGATCGATAGAACTAGCTGAGAGACAGGCGAAACGAAGGACCCGCATGGTGTGGTGGTGAACGCGTTACTCCCCGGAAAGGACAATAGCGCGTTCGTTCCCCACCGCAGACACCTGCGGTCCGGAGTTTTGAAAATATCTCAGCATTATAGAAGTTTTGCCCTTGATGCTCTTGAAGGCTCGCCAAGCCGCGCGTTTCCTTCTGCTGAACTCTGTGGCTAAGTCGACCATCGTGCTGATTTACCGACTTAGATAAACATAACTGGAACACTAGGAGACATCCGTTCCATTGAACGTCAATGGGGCATGTGAAATCAATCCGTTCTTCATAACCAACGTTTTTGTAAGGTTTAGTCGAAGACCAATCTTTCCACCGGCATTATCGAAGGCGGGAGGCATTCGTTCTGTTTGGTTAATATTTAATATTATAAGGATGGCATCAGCAAAGCGAAGATGATGTAACTGCCGACCATCGATTTTCACTCCCATGTTGTCCCATTCCAATGTTCGCATGACGTTCTCGAATGTGGCGGTAGCCCCTCTTTTGACGTCGATGTAAACATCGTTGTAGAATGGCGACATCTTAGTTGTGACATTTTTATACAACCCACGAAGATTCTTTATATACTAAGTAGGGACTTCTTGAGTATCAAGAGCTTCCATGACTACTTCTATCTCATTTGAGCCAATGTCTCTTTAAATCGATGAAAGTACAACAGAGCGGTCTTTTGCACTCTCGAGATACTTCAATGAGCCGTGCTACCTTGTGGTTGTGGTCCATCGTACTAAATCCTCTTCGAAACCCTGCTTGCTCGCATGGCTGTCCTTCGTCCAGTGTTCTGTCAATCCTGTTTAGAATGACTCGAGTGGAAAGTTTGAAGACGTCAGACAGCAAGCAGATTGGGCGATAGTTGCCGATGTCGTGTAGGTCGCCCTTCTTGTACAATAACACGGTTTTGCTGGTCTTCCACTTACTAGGTACCTGCATTCAGGCACGTAACGTGTGTACAGCCGAGCTAGTGTGTTTACGAGGACTGGCGGGAGCTACTTCATGTGCTCAGGTTATATCCTTTCCGAACCTGGTGCTGTTCGCTTTTTCACCGACGCAATAGCATGTCGGATTTCGGAGGGTCGTACCGGTAGTACGACATATCCATCCTCCTTTATTTTACATGAGCGAAGGAGAACGTGTCTATTGAAGAGTTCGATTCGACTTCGCCTGTATCGCTTTTCACTGTTCTTTAAGTCAAGGTCTAAAATAATGCGAAAAGTCACCGCTAAGCTTCGTAGTAGTGCAAGAAAAATCTAAGTGGTGTTTTGTTAAGAACTGTGTTTGCCTTTAATTTCCTGGAAAATTTGGTCAGGAACAAGTGTATTATATTAGGCTAGTGAGTAAGGAAGCGCAAGAGTAAGGAAGAATAAAAACTTAGATTTTTTGTTGGTACCGCAAGTCGTTTCTCAATAGCTCACGTTTTTCAGGAAAGAATCTCAACCTTTCATTGTTGTCAAAGTCCGATAAATATAGGTATAAGCAGGTTCGTATTTGAAGGCATAGAGTGTTAGTTAAAAAATCAGTTCTGTATATTTATTGCTATACTGCCATATTTTTCAGATTGTAGAAACCTTTTCGCTTTATTTAGTTGTGAAAAGAAAAGCCATACAGTCTCTAAGAGGCATATCTAGGACTACGAGGCATTCAAATGGCGAGTAACGATAGCCATTGTCGTTGTTGTTTTGCTTTCTTTTTTGTTCCCTGTGAGGTTGATGGACTCTATTGGCAACTTCCTCATGGTTTGGTATGTTTTATCGCGCATTATCGTATGATTTGTAAACTTTTATAGTATTAACTCTTTTTCTTTTATTATTTCAAATCCTGTCAACAACTTTTCTCCCTGGAGTCATGGTGCCTACTTACTAGCTTTTGAGTCATCTTGTACTCACTAAGGCCACGTAGTGGACGTCCAAAAATTATGGTGATTTTTCTGATTGCAGGTATTATTGCACACTGACAATTCGTGAAAACATTCTTACTATCAACGGATCTCGGAAAGTTTTGTAGATTCTTTATAGTTTATTTTTTTTAGTAAATATCATGCCAGCGAATATCAAAGATCCTATTCTGTATGATTCGATCTAAGAGCGTTTTTTACGCATGAAAGTTTTTTTTCCATGACTTGATCTATTAAGTACTTTCATCCACACTATTTAAGTTTTCGACGAAATATGTTGTTGACTACATTTCAGAATAAAAGGCTGGTGGGTAATGCATCACTACTTGTCATGTGTCTTGTGTGGAATAGTGTTAACATGGAGGGATGGCGAATGCTATCAGTCCTTTCGTCAACAGTTTCTTCTTTTTGTTTTCTACATCGCATTTATACAAATCCTTCAGGTGTGATCTTATAAGTAGTCGGTTGTTGGAACATTTACGGATTTTCCACAACTTTTCCATCTTTTTTTCTCTCTTGGTGTGCTTGCTGTTTTCACAACGCTTAGTTAGCCGTTACTTAAGAGCATGGATAAACCGTCTTCTCCACGCCTAGTTTCAGCTATTACGAGTTTACTGGTTTCTTGAAAATAAGCAGTAGTTTTTCGTTAATCAAGAACATTTAAGAGTTGTCACTGTAGTGATCGAACATGTAGTAATAGTCCATCACAACTCAAATTTCTGGTCAATCAGCTCGTTAGAGGAACGAGTTTTTTTTTAATTCGTATATTTTTGAGTGCTGAATCGAGCTTTTCCCAATCAATATTCAAGACATCATCTATGTTCTACAAGGTAGTTCGCAGGTGTAGTTAGGGCATTAGGGACACCTGTTCATGATTTGGCCGTAGAAAATATGTGTGTTCAACTAGCTATCGGTTGACTACAAAAAGGCTGGCAAAAAAGCTCTGTGCGATGCAATAACCCAGCGAAAAGCGCACGTAATGAAGGCATTATGTGTGGTCTCTAGCGTGCACGAGCATACGTATCGAAAGCAATGCACATGGTAGCGAAATGGTTAACCATCATTTGAGAGAATAGTTATTTTCCTTGTTTATCGTATTTGTAATTTCCCTTTGTCGAAGATCTCGACACTTGGTTATCTTATGGTACAGAGACAACAAATGCGCTTAAGTATATCTAATGATTAGTGCCCCGCAGATTTAGAAAAAAAATTCAGTGCTGTATCGATCTTTTTCAAGCGATGCGTGTAGCACAATAGTCGGAGGCGCCCTGCAGTGTGCACATGTGATCGACTCCACGCTCTAGGCCCACCAAGCCTTCCATCCCTCCGGGGTCGGCAAATTGGTACCGGACTTATCTGGGAGGATAGCAGAGCTGGCTCGATAAATCATTAGGCCATCGCGAGTCATTTTAAAGGCCAGGTATGCATTCAATCACTCCAGCGATGCTTATTGAAGTCAAATTCATGGCGTATCTCTCAGGGATTGATCAACGCCGAGAGCTTTATCCTTTTAATAACTTGTAAAGTAGTTGAAGTATCCACTTATGATTTTACGTTCTTTCTTGGCTGCGTGATCTGCGTATTGGTATGAAATAAGAGGAAAGCTTATTCTTGTTTGAAAACATGAGAACATGAGCCAGCAAAACATAGAAGACAGAAGATAGTAAAGGTAATATATATATGTATGTATATTTGCATGCATAGATATATAATACTTTAAGTAAGTATATATATATGCTTGTATATATCTATATATTAGGAATGCGTTCTTATTTGTGGTTGTTATTTGAAACGCTGGAAAAGCATGCTTCTGTGTGAAACGGACCGTTAATCACTTCCCAGCTTAGAATTACAGCCATAGTTAATCAATCTAAAGTAGCTTGGAAGTTAACTTTTTGTTTTATACATCTAATTTCAGTCACAATACCAAACTGGATGTCTTCGTCGGCTTCATTCGTTGGGCCAAGGTCACCAAATGGATATCACTGTTGAAGGTTTCACAAGTTTCATGTTCAAAGGTCTCACGTTCCTATTGCCGTTTTTGATTACTGGCTATGTAAGTGTTCTTTTTAGTAATATTTTGGCGTTTTATGGATATAGGAATGAAACTAATAACACTGACGCTGTGCAGTATAAACAGAGTCGTTAGTTCGATGGTGGGCCTCGTGCTAGCAAAATTAGTACAACCATACGGATGCTAATATCTGAGGGAAACCGGGAACCTCACATAGGCTTCGAACCCCCGTTTACCCTTGGCGGCGGCTCAGATGCTATCAACCACACCAATTGAGATCCTTGTTTGCCTTTCTCTCAACCAGTGTTTTTGCTCTAGCAGTGCTATCTCACCTAAACACTTAACTTCCGCTGTTCGGCAAATTGGTGTCAGACGCATCACGAGGGAGAAAAGCACTGACCTGATATACGGTTGACCACTTCAACTTATTGTGTATGCCAGGTATGTATTTTACACTCCCGCAAGGAGTGGCCTCCATAGGCATCATAACGGTTTTCCGGGAGTGGCTGGTAAGATATCTGTATGTCTCATATTCTTTCCAGTGGTTTATTTCATCACATGGAGCTAGTGTTCTACAATTTTTGTTATCAGTTCGTAAAAATTATTGTTTATCTCCAAGAAACTAGCAAGTCCGTAGAAGCGATGTCAAGTTCGCAACAAGCAAGGTTAGGCGTCGTCACGAGAATGTTAATGACCTCTATAATGCTATGAATGAAATTTCATCCGATTTATCAAACCAGTGCTGCTATCCTCCCAGATAAGTCTGGTACTAATTTGCCGACCCCGGAAGGATGGAAAGCTTGGTGAGCCTTGAGCACGGGGATCAATCCTGTGTATTCCAGGGCGCCTCCGACCACTGTGCTACACGCGCTTCCGTATACATACATAAATATATATAGCGCACAAAAATATCGCTAAAGAACATCAAACAGATCACATTAGAATAGGTAATGGGCAAGAAAATTCAAGGCTAACCGTGTTAGGAGGCATAACTCTCCCTGACGGTGCGTTATTAGAATTGGGGCCGAGTTTCTCACCATCCGAACCCATTTCTACGATAACCTTGCGTAGGGTCGCATGTGGTTTACATGAACTTCAAGATAGACTCCGCAAAAAAGCTAGAGATGAAGCTAAATAGGTGCGAACAACATCAAGTGGGGCCCCTACCAATAGCACCATTTCCCCCGACGTTCTTTAGACAACAAGAGCCCAATAATGAAGTTGATGTTAAATTTCGGATGTTTGCGGATGAAACTCTCAAAGTCCTTAATCACTGTCGCGCGAAAAGATACAGCTCAAAGCTCACCCCAGTGCAAAAACGTGGTATGCGAGGGGTACGAGAGCTGATAAGGTTGAAAGCCATAAGACTTTCCGTTAGTGATAGGGGTGGAGAGTTTGTCGTAATTCCTCATCAGTTAGATGTGGAGATAACGAAAAAGCATCTTGAAGATGCTTCGCTTTATCGCCCATCATCTGAGGAGGAATTCAAAAGTAAATACCGAAAACTAAACCACGAATGGGCCAAAATGGCAAGGGCTGCTGGTTTGAAACCATCAGTTATCTCTCAACTTAAAGTTGCCTTACCAACATGCCCCGTCTTGTACTTACTTATAAAAACTCATAAGTTAGTATCCAGCGATGATCTTGCGTCTACCGATCCACCAACGGACAGGATAACATGGTTTTTAACCCTAATATTTAACCAGTTGTTGAAACACATTCCA